AGGTGGCTCTTGACAAGCCCCAGGTCACACCCTGGTAGAAAACTCTACACCCAGCACATTGGTTCTTAGTCCAGGAGACAGGGGTCTTATAGGGGCCCTGAGCCTGGACAGCCTCTACTCTCCCCTTTAACAGGGGCCTTTGGACAGAAGAGGAGGGGGCTGCACCCCATAGGTCACAGTGGGTGGGGGTTTGGCCAGATGACCACAAACATGTCCTAGGCCCTCCAGTGTGGCCACACTGTCCTTATCTGCATAGGGAGTTGCGGAAGTCCAGGCTCCACCCTGAGAGGGCAGGTCCTGCCTGGACTCTACCCTGAGAGGGCAGGTCCTGCTATCTCCAAGAAACCTCGAGATGACATCACTTCCTGCTGACCTCCAGTAGGTCACCTCATCCCAGGCCACGATGCACCCCAGCACTGGCTCCAGACAGACCATGAGGGCCCCACCGGGCAGCTGGGACTGAGGGTGCTCTTCCTTGAGAGCCAAAAGGGCTGGGGTCCCAGGGTGGTGAGTCACAGTGCAGAGGGGCTGCCCAATAAGCTAGCGTGCCCTTTGGACTGAGCTCTTTGACCCAACATGGCCACTGTGTCGTTGTGCTAACAGCGTATCAAGGTTTACCCATCCCAATTCTGAGGAATGTCCGCATAGTCCCATTGGTGGCCACTGTGAACAACGCTACTATAAACACTCTCGTGTTCACACCCTGCTGCAGGCGTGCCTTGCATCTCCAGGATATATACCTAATGAGAACTTCTTGTTTACAGGGACTGTAGAGCCCAGGTGGCACAGTGGTTAAGTGCTCAGCTGCTAACTGAAAGGTGGTGGTTCAAACCCACCAGCTGCTATGCAGGAGAAAGGTGTGGCAGTCTGCTTCTGGAAAGATTACAGCCTTGAAAACCCTAGGGGAAGTTCTATAGGATCACTGAGTCATAACTGACTCAATGGCAACAGGTATTTATAGGGTATGCATGTCTTGAAGCTCACCAGGTACCACCAACCTGTTTTCCAAATGCTATTTTCAATATACACCCCTACCAGGACTATCTGCCAGTGGCCAGTGCTACATATCCTTGTCAATTCTGAGTGTCACTGGTCTTGTTCATTGTTACCATTCTGATGGGTATGTTGTAAGGAGCTCTGGTAGCACAGAGTCTAAGGCATTTGACTGCTAACCAGAAGGTTGGCAGTTCAAACCCACCAGCCACTTCACAGAAGGAAGAAGGGACAAACTACTTCCATAGATTTACTGCCTTGGAAACCCAAGGGGTCACTGTGAGTCAGAATCTACTGGATGGCAGTAGGTTTTCTTTTTTTTTTTTTTTTGGTTTGAGTATGTTGAGGTGTTTCATTGCAGGATCCTGAGGACTTACCAGGCTAAGGATCTTTATATATGTTGAAACCATTTGAGCTTGTCTTTTACGAAGTGCCTGTTCCAAGTTTCTTGCCCATTTTCCTATTGGTCAGCTGCCTCTTAATGACTTGTAGGACTTCCTTTATATTGTGGGTGCTAAGCCATGGTCAATAATGTATTAAAATACCTTCTCCCACTCTCTAGCTTCTCTTCATTTTCTTCATAGAGTCCTTTAATTAGTGAAAGTTTGGCATTTAGTTTTTGTTATGGATTTGTCAATCTTTTCCTTTATGACTAATGTATTCTACATTTTATTAAAGAAATCTATCACTCTTAAACATGTGAAGATACTAACATATATTATTGTGGAGGTTAAGTTTGTGTGTCACCTTGGCTAGGCCTGGTTGAGTGGCTGGGCTGAATGTAGTTATTCCCCATGGTAAGATTGGTAATTAACTCCATGGTGGAATCTATTAGAGCAGCTGAGTAGCTGCTTTGGGTATGTGGCCTGCTTCCCGGATATAAGAAACAGCTTTGGGAATGGTCTCTAGTTTATGGTACATTTGAGCCCTGCATGTAGCTGAGTCATTGTTCAGCAGCCTGCCACGCTCTGCCAATTTTGGGACTTTCAATAGACTTGAATTAATGGCCTGCCATGGGGTTTGGTAACATCAAGACTGTGCCATTTTACTTGTCAGCCTTGGGCTTGTCAGCTTTAGCAGCCAGCAGCTGTCTGAGTGAAGAAAAGATCCAGCTTCAGTGGGCCAGGGGCAGGAGGAAGAACTGAAGCCCAAGGTTGAGGGGCCTTCACCCAGCCCCTAAAGCCTGACACTTTGAACTCAGACTTCAAACCTCCAAACTGTAAGAGTATAAATTCCTGTTTGATAAGTCCATCCCACCTGCGGTACATTCCTGTCAGAGTGGCACTGGGTAACCAGAACAGAATATGGTACTAAGAGAGCAGGGTGCTGCTCTGATAGATACCTAAAATGTGGGAACAGCAGTGGACAGCATCTTTGATCTGAGACCCTGGCAGAGAGGCCCCAGCCTTGAGAAACAGCATGAGAAACGGCAGGAGCAGAGAGACAATAATGAGACGGCTCTAGCAGAGCCCAGAGACTGGCATGAGACAGGACAGCCTTTCCAGCTCATGGAGGAGAAAGCTGGATGCCATTGGGTAGGCAGCTTCCTGGCGGAGTGGGTTGCCTTCAGGCGTTAATTGGTAGAAGAGACCGGCATGAAATGGAGTAGCAGGTTGGCCAGCCCACGGAGCAAGAAAGCTGAGTGCTTTTGGGCAGTAAAATTTCTGGCGGAGTGGGCTGCCTTTGGCATTAATCAGCAGAAGCAGGGACAAGGAAACGGGAAACAGAGCTGCCTCAGCCTCAAGGGCAGGACCATGGCCTTTGGGGGTGGAGCCACCACAGCCCCTAGGTTTCAAAGAGCCAGGCCTTCACCAACTTGGTTCTGGAGCGTGGGGCTGCTCATTCATGTGAAGAACAGGGCCCACCAGGCCAAGGGGGTGAGGTCGCCACTCAGGAACTACGGGACTGGAGTCACCCAGTGAAGGAAATCTGTACAGGTGCCAAGGTGTGGAATTGTGGTGGTTAAGTTTGTGTGCCAACTTGGCTGGGCCTGGCTGAGTGGCTGGGCAGCTGAATGTAGTTATTCTCCATGGTGAGATTGGTAATTAACTCCATGGTGGAATCTATTGGAGCAGCTGAGTAGCTGCTTTGTGTATGTGGTCTGCTTTCCATATATAAGAAACAGCTTTGGGAATGCTTTGGACTCTAACTTATAGCACACTTGAACCCTGCATGTAGCCATGTCGTTGTTCAGCAGCTTGCCATGCTCTGCTGACCTTGGGACTTTTAATGGACTTGAATTAATGGCCTGCCATGTGGTTTGGTAACATTAGGACTATGCCTTTTTACCTGTCAACCTTGGGCTTGTCAGTCTTAGCAGCCAGCAGCTGACTGAGTGAAGAAAAGCCTCTTGCTTCAGTGGGCCAGGAGCAAGAGGCAGAGCTGAAGCCCAAGGTTGAGGGGCCTTCACCCAGCCCCTACAACCTGGCACTTTGAACTTAGACTTCAAGCCTCCAAATTGTAAGAATAAATTCCTATTTGTTAAGGCCATCCAATTTATGGTATATTCCTGTCAGAGTGGCACTAGGGAACAAGAGCAGTTAGCTCCTAAACGATTTATAAATTTTACCTTTCACAGTTAGGCCTTTATTCCCTTTGGAAATTTTTTCTTTTTTTCTTTATGGTTAGAAGCAGAAGTCCGATTTCCTTTTTTCTTTATGAATATTCAGTGTCCCAAGGCCACTGATTGAAAAACCATTCTCCCCATTCTGTTGTGCCATCTCAATCATATATATAATCTTATAATCCATCCTTTAACTCAGAAAAATTTCAGAGTAAGAGGGCACTATGATAGTTACAGCAGGACAACAGATGTCTCCTGGACAGTCAATCACTCTTGTCCTATGACAACGGTCCACCTGAGCATGGCTGGTTCTAGGCTATTGTCCATCCTTGCACCCTGTCTTCATTAATAGCACTTTATAAAAGGCCTCTCACTGTGTTTTTAATCTTTAAGGATCTTGGGTATTCTTGGCTTTTGTATTTCTATATAAATCATTTTGTGCGATCCCACATAAAATGTGTCAGAATTCTGATAGGGGTTGCACTGAATCTACAGATCGATTTGGAAAGAACTGGCATATTTATAATATTGAGTCTCCCAATTCATGAACATGGTATATCATGCCATTGATCTAGGTCTTTGAAATCTCCCAGTAGTACTTCTAACTTTCCTGGTGAGGGTCTTACACAAAAATTTTACTAGATTTATTTCCTAAGTAATTGATATATATTTTTGATGCTCTGGTAAACGCCTGTTTATTGCTGGAATATAAAAACACAATTGCTTTTTGTACCTAGTAACTCTGCCACATTCCCTTATTAATTCTAAGAATCTAGCTGCAGACTCTTGGATTTTCTGTGTGGACAGAAACGAGCTCTGGTGGTGCAGCGGTAAAGGCATTTTGGTGGTTCACACCCACCAGCCACTCTGCAGGAGAAGATGAGGCAATTTACTTCTGTAAAGGTTTTCAGCCTTGGAAACCCTACGGGTCACTATGAGTTGGAATCGACTTGATGGCAGTGGGTTTGAGCTTTGGATGTGTGGACAGAACCTGCCATCTTTGGATGACAGGTGTGCCTTTCTTTCCAGCAAGGAAATGAGGCAGTCGGTGTTACTAATCAAGCAAAGGCTGTGGCGCTCACTGTTTTCTACCTATTTAAAAAGTTAAGTACCTTTGAACAGGTCAAACCTCAAACTCTGAATAATACAAACAATTTAGTAGGGATTCAAAGGAATGATTCCAGGGCAAACATGAAGAGAAAACTCTCTTTATTGAAATACCAAAGGAAAGCAAGATAATTCACACTTTATATTACAAATATCCTACCAGTCACCCAGAGTGCACTTACAGGATACATGGTGGCTCTAAATATAGCAAGTTAATTTTTAAAATAACAAGAGCAAGCACTATTGCTTCTTTTTAAAATATACCAAAAGGGAAGTGATTCTCTTTTTATTATAACTTACAGCTAAACAAACCTGAGTCTTTACTTAGAAATATTACCTCCGTGCCCCCAGAAGTGAAGATTATGTCTTGAGGTTTCCCGCCTATCATCTTCGCAAGGTTTTCCCGAGCTGCGTTTATAATATCCTTGGCCTTTCTGCCTTGAGGGACAAAAAAGAGATTATTAGCACTGCTACCCCAAGTCCAGTCAGCACAGGTTTAAAAGAAGGACCAGACACAAAGGAGTGAAGGATCAATAGGCCACTCTAAGATGAGATGAGTTCCGGTAACACGAACACAACGACAAGCTACGGCCTAGAAATAACTCGGCAAATGGGCAGCAGAAAGATATTAGCATTTACTGCAAACTACTGGGATTTCAGTGACTTAGTGAGAAACAGAAATAGACAGTCAACGTGGGAGGATTCCTGGGAACCTCAGGATTCCCTAAGACATGGTTTTCTTCTTACCAGATGCTAGAGGAGAAGGGAAGCTGTGGCCATCTGCCTTGCTTCCCACTCAAGACAAGACAATGCACGATGGGATAATTTGCTTAAAAGCATGCTGCAAAACAACAAAAATAAACAGAAATAGAACTCATGCCTCCTCAACCCAAAGTCCAATGCCTTATCTCACAGTGCAGATCATCCTAGGTTATGGTCTCAGGGATACATTTGCTTTCAAATAGGGAATGGGGCTATGCAGCCCAGCTGTTACCCAGTTTCAACAGCTGGTGGGCAACACAGGAACTTCATGTGGCAGGGAAAGAAAAAGAGCCTGGGATGAGGAGTCCCAAAATGCTGGTGACCATTCTTATTGAAGTTGTCTGTAGACAGTAGCCTCCAAGCTGTTGGCCATAAAAGTTTAATTGTAAAAAGAAATTAAGCAGGTACTCCATTTTTCTCTTTCTCTCTATAAATTTGTAATTTCATGTATATTATAAAACATACATAAAAATATATAAGGATGAGATAAAAATAAATATGAAAAATACTTTTCAACCCTTAATACTCCTGGAACAGAGTTTAATTCTAGGTAGTGAAGGTACTTAGGTAAATCTAGTCATTTTAATTAGTGATAATTAAAAGTACTATAATAAACTGTCCATAAATTAAGGCACATGCCAGTAGCTCCACTTGGAATGTTGCATAAACCCTGCGCACCAGACACATTCCCATTCTTCCTCTGGAGTCTTTTGTCTAAGAAGCTGCAGGGCTGACTCTGAAGCAGTAGCTCCTTCCTGCTTCATTTTTCCCCTCCTCCAATCACTGTAGCCGGTTAGGTTTGTAACCTCCCTAACTTTTTCCATTGTACTTAAGAGACATACACCTTCATGCAAGCATTGCGTAGAGTTTTCCCCAAAAATAGACTTTATAATTTATATACAGTTTTGGAATAACTTCCTTTTTCCATTTACAGTCTTGGAGATCTTTATAGGTAAGGGCCTATGGTGCCACTTCCCTACCACTCTACCTACTGGAGTGACTAAAATTAAAAGACTGACCATTCCAAGTGTTGACAAGGATGTGGAGGAACTGGAACACTCATATTCTGCTAATGGAAACATAAAATGGTATAACCATTTCGGAAAGTTTGGCAGTATCTTAAAAAGTACAGTGTATACTTACCGTTTGATGCAGCCATTCCACTCCTAGGTTTTTATATTATTTATCCAAGAGAAAAAAGCAGTCCATCCACGAAATGTTCACAAAAGCATTGTTTATAACAGCCCAAAAAACTGGACATAGTTCAAATGTCCATCAACAAATAAACAACCTGGTGTGCTGCATACAGTTGTTGCTGTTGTTAAGTGCCGAATCGTCTCTGACTCACAGTGACTCTACGCACAGCAGAACGAAACACCGCCTGATCCCGAGCCAGCTCCACAATTCTTGCTACACTGGAGCCCATCGCTGCCGCCACCACGTCAGTCCACCTTGTTGAGGGCCTTCCCCTTTTTCGTCGACCCTCCACCTTACCAAGCATGACATCGTTTTCCAGGGAATGGTCCCTTCTGACAACATGACCAAAGTAGGTGAGATGAAGTCTGGCCATTCTTGCCTCCAAGGAGCATTCTGGCTGCACTTCCTCCAGGACAGACTTGTTAGTTCTTTTAGCAGTCCATGGTACTTTCAGCTTTCTTCACCAACACCACAGCTCAAAAGCATTAACTCTTCTACGGTCTTCCTTATTCATTGCCCAGCTCTCACACGCAAAGATGTCTCCTTGGAGACATCTTTGCTCTTCAGCACTTGAAAGAGGTCCTTTGCAGCCGATCTGCCTGGTGCTATACATCGTCAGTCCTGACTGCTGCTTCCATTGCTGTCAATTGTAGAGCCAAGCCATGTGAAGCCTTTGACAATTTCAATCTTTTCTCCACTTATCGTAATGCTGCTTATAGGTCCAGTTGTGGGGATTTTTGTTCTCTTTATATTGAGATGTAATCCATACTGCAGACTGTGGTCTTCAATCTTCATCAGTAAGTACTTCAAGTCATCCTCACCTTCAGCAAGCAAAGTTGTGTTGTCAGCGTATCGCAGGTTGTTAATGATTCTTCCTTTAATCCTGATGCCATGTTATGCTTCATATAGTCCAGCTTCTCAGATTATTTGCTCAGATACAGATTGAGTAAGTATGGTGAAAGGATACAACCCTGACACACTCTCTTCTTGATTTTAAACCATGCAGTATCCCCTTGTTTTGTTTGAATGACAGCCTCCTGGTCTATGTACAGTTTCCTCATGAGCACAATTAAGAGTTCTGGAATTCCCGTTCTTCTCAATGTTATCCACAATTTGTTATGATCCACACAATCAGATGCTTTTGCATAGTCAATGAAACACAAGTAAAACATCTTTCTGGTATTCTTTACTTTGAGCCAAGATCCATCTGACATCAGCAATGATATCCCTTGTTCCACCTCCTCTTTTGAATCCAGCCTGCACCTCTGGAAGTTCTCTGTCAAACACGGCTGCAACCATTTTTGATATATCTTCAGTAAGATTTTACTTGCATGTGATATTAATGATATTGTTCGGTAATTTCCATATTCTGTGGGATCACCTTTCTTTGATGGGTACAAATTTGGATCTCTTCCAGTCAGTTGGTCAGGTAGCTGTCTTCCAAATCTCTTGGCATAACCGAGTGAGTGCCTCCAATGGGGCATCCATATGTTGAAACATCTCAATGGATATTCCATCAATTCCTCGAGCCTTGTTCCTCACCAATTCCCTCAGCGCAGCTTCAACCTCTTCCCTCAATGCCATTGGTTCTTGAACATACGTCACCTCCTGAAATGGATGAACATCGACCAGTTCTTTTTGGTACACTGACCCTGTATTCCTTCCTCCTCTTTTGATGCTTCCTGCATCATTCATTATTTTGCCCACAGAATCTTTCAATATTGCAACTCGAGGCTTAAAGTTTTTCCTCAGTTCTTTCAGCTTGAGAAATGCCAAGCGTGTTCTTCCCTTCTGGTTTTCTAACTCCAGGTCTTTGCACATTTCACTATAGTAACTGGCTTTGTCTGCTTGAGCTGCTCTTTGAAATCTTCTGTTCAGCTCTTTTATCTTGTCGTTTCTTCCATTTCCTTTAGCTTCTCTTCACTCAAGGGCAAGTCTTAGAGTTTCTCCTGACATCCATTTTGTTTTTTTCTTACTTTCTCATATTTTTAATGACCTCTTGTCTTCTTCATGGATGATGCTCTTGATGTCATCCCACAATTCTTCTGGTTTTTGGTCACTGGTGTTCAATGCATCAAATCTATTCTTTAGATGGTCTCTAAATTCAGGAGGGATATATTCAAGATCATATTTTGGCTCCTGTGGACTTGTTTTAATTGTCTTCCACTTCAAGTTGAACTTGCATATGAGCGGTTGATGGCCTGTTCCACAATCAGCTCCTGGCCTGGTTTTGGCTGAAGATATTGAGCTTTTCCATCGCCTCCTGCCACATTGATTCCTGTGTACTCCATCAGGTGAAGTCCACATGTATAGCCACCGTTTGTGTTGTTGAAAAAAGTTATCTGCAATGAATAAGTCATTGGTCTTGCAAAACTCTATTATGTGATCTGCAGCGTTTTTTCTGTGACTAATGCCAAATTTTCCAACTATCGGTGATTCTTCTTTGTTTCCAACTTTTGCATTCCAGTCACCAGTGATAAGCAACACATCTTGATTGCATGTTTGGTCAATTTCAGACTGCAGACGTTGATACAAATCTTCAATTTCCTCATCTTTTGCTTTGGTGATTGGTGCATAAATTTGAATAATAGTCGTATTAACTGGTCTTCCTTGTAGGCGTACAGATATTATCCTATGACTGCACACAGTGGGACACTCAAAACCAAACCAACCGCCACGGCAACCCCATATGTGTCTGAAGAGAACTGGACTCCACAGCATTTTCAATGGGTGACTTTTTTCGTAAGTAGATCATCATGCTTTCTTCCAAAGTGCCTCTGTGTGGACTTGAACCTGCAACCTTTCAGTTAGCAGCTGAACATGTTAGCCGTCCGCCACACCCAGGGACTCCAATGGTACAAAATCAGCAATCAAAAGGAATGAATTGTTGAGATACCCAACAGCACGGACGAAACAAAATCATTAGGTTGAGAGAAAGAAGCCAGGCAGAAAAACAGTACATGCCACATGATTCCATGTGTGTGAAAATCTAAACAATCCTAAGCCACAGCGACAGGAAGCATAGCAGTGCATGCCTGGGGCTTGCCAGGGGCAGGAATTCCAAAGGGAACTTCAGGGGGTGATGGAAATGTTTATTATCTAGATAGCTTCAAGGGTATAAACGTATGTCAAACGCTATCAAACCACACACTTTCACTAGAGTTTACTGGACATAGTGCACTCCAATCAGGCTGTTAAGGAGGGTTCCAGTTTCCTGTCTTTACTGCAGTGCTCATGCTCCGCACGGATGCAGGAGACAGACCAACGGGTCCCCAAGAATATCAGCATGCAGAGCGCCTACTGAACCCTCCACTCAGAACCACGACACCTGGAGGGTGGGGAAACTGCCAGAAACAACCTACTGGGCACTCTTGTCATTTACTTGTAACTTAGAGGATCTAATACTTGAAATAAAAACGTCGTTTCGGGACATCTGAATCTGCGCTGTAAGATTAGGTGCTGTGACTAGATCCTTGCTCAAGTTTCTACGTGGGAAAACGGACTGTGGTCTGTACTACCTAATGGGCACAGTGAGCAGATCCCACCACTATTGCTAGCATGTGGTCACGGTCTGCACGCATCCCCTGAGGTGGGCCAGCCCTCATCTTCCCACTCCTTTCCTCTCGTCAGCTGCCCGAGCGGCACTCTCTTCACCTCCTGCCGCCCAGAGCTGGCTGGCCTGGAGCTCACAAATTGGGCCTTTTTCAGGTCAGCTGCCCTTGCAGCCCAGCCCTGACCTAGCCACCCTGAGCCAGGTCAGAACACATACTCAGAAGGACTCTGTCCTTCAGGTCAGCTGCCCGTGCGGCCTGGCTCTGACCTAGCCACCCCGAGTTAAACCAGGCACAAGAGTGAGGAGTCTGCCCTTCAGGTTGCCAAACAAGCAGATGCCAGCCCTTGGCAGCTTTCAAGTTCCCCTGTGGGTTTGTTAAATCCTGGGAAAGACTCACAGAATTCACAGAGCCTGTCTGTGTTTACAGTTACCAATGGTATTATAACCAGAAAGACTAAAATAATGAGACACAAGGGTGCTGGAGTGAGACTACCACTGTTCCCAGGCCACTCTACCGTAAGCACAAGTGCTCATTGATCCGGAAGACCCCTGTACTCAGGTGTTCAGGGCCAGTCCATGTGGACAGAAGCACTGACTGCACATGACCAAACAGGATTCCACCCATCTGGAAGTCAGCTGATAAAGTGGGGTCTGCGAAGTCCCCACCCATTTGCACCCTCAGGTGCTGTCCAGAGGGTGAACATGATAAAGGCGCTGCAACTGCTGTGGAATTCCAAGGGCTGTCTTTAAGGAAAGGGGTCTGAAGGTACAGTGGTTCAACGCTCTACTAACCACACACGCCCAGCTGCTCCCTGGCAGAAAAGACCTGGTGACCTGCTCTCACGAAGATTACAGCCTAGGAAACCCTATGGGGCAGTTCTGCTCTGTCCTACAGGGTCCCCTGAGGACACACAGGAACATCTTCCAGGGACCAGAGCCAGTTAGGAGAATGTTCTTGCTCTTAGGACACACTTACTTAAGTACCTCATGACAGAAAAGTAAATAAGCAACCAAAAACTAGAAACCACCTCCATGTCCATCAGTGGAAGGCTGGTCCATACAGTCTGACAACCTCCATGTCCGTCAGTGGAAGACTGGTCCATACAGTCTGACAACCTCCACGTCTTGTCGGTGGAAGGCTGGTTCCACATGGTCTGACAACCTCCACGTCCATCAGCGGAAGGCTGGTCCACACAGTCTGACAACCTGCACATCCATCAGTGGAAGGCTGGTTCCACAAGGCCTGACAACCTCCACGTCCATCAGTGGAAGGCTGGTCCACACGGTCTGACAACCTCCATGTCTGTCAGTAGAAGGCTGGTTCCATACAGTCTGACAATCTCCATGTACGTCAGTGGAAGGCTGGTTCCACACGGTCTGATAACCTCCACGTCCATCAGTGGAAGGCTGGTTCCACGTGGTCTGACAACCTCCACGTCCGTCAGTGGAAGGCTGGTTCCACACGGTCTGACACCCTCCACGTCCGTCAGTGGAAGGCTGGTCCACACGGTCTG